CACATTCTGCGTTCTGACAGAAATGTCTGATGGAGCTGTTAAACTTCTCGTAAAGCTGGGAATGCATAAAGCAACACAAGCAGATGGGATCTGCAACTGTGAAGTGACAACGACATTGCACCAAAAAAGTCGCCCAATACGCCGGATGTGTCGTCTCTGTTGAGATCGTTATGCTGAGTCATTGGAAAGTCGATTGTTTGTGATGTTAATCGCATTCCAGCTTTCAACGGTCTTGCCACAAGGCACTGGTTACTGCATCACGAAAGGAAACAGTTCTCTACCTCATTTCTAGAGGTTGTATTCTAGGCTCCTGGTCGACTTCTGCCATGTTTTCGGCTCCCACAGATTACGTTATCGGCTTTGAGGAAATTTGCACTAACCTCCTTTCCCTCATCTCCACGTCTAGAGAGGTTTTCTGTGGCCGCAAGAGAACAGAGCCATTCCTTACGTGGACCGGTCACCTAGCCTTCATTATGCGTCGAAACCAACGTTGCTGTGCACAAGTCAACCGTCGTGCTAGACCACCGTAGTGGTAACTTAACCCAGGACTGACACCTCTAATCGCTCGATTTCTCTGACTTAATAATGAAATGATGGTAAGATTCGAATTTCGATTGAACTCGCCCATTCGTCATCTTACTGAATGTGGGGAAATGTGTTCCCCCGAGGTCGGGGACGAGGCAGAAACAGCACAATTCGCTGCCATGTTTGACACCAGATGCAAACTTTGTCTGTGAAGAATGACGCTGCCAGAGTGAATTCACAACAGCAGACATCGGCTTTACAGCAAAAGCTTCCTTTCATCACGACCAGTGTTATGGAGTTCTATGGAGCTTATGTACTTCTGTCACAAGCAATGGAGTACTTCGTGGTACTCTCTAGTTAAGTGCAGAGTTTCTCATGCATGGAATTATTAAATTACCGAAGTGATTTTAAATTCACAGTCCGACCAACGTCATGTCAGACGAAGTAGAGTCATACGTTGGCTTAATTCAATCACATCGCTAAGTGAAGTGAAATTTTTTCAGTACACCCAGCACAGCCCAGATGACGAACACAACGCGGCGTTCAAATCGCGTTTTGCTCAGAAAGTTTCATCAACTTTGAGTCGATGCACTTAACGTAATGCTGCTTACGACTCGATAAAAGAACTTCTGCGTTCTGTGAGCGTGTTTTAAAAGACCATTCGACTGAGTTTGTTAGAAAGACCTCCGAAAGGAATTTTTGCCGAGAGTTCTGAGTTACTTATTTGAGGACATGAAACAAGTAACTGTCTGAAGTAATTTAGAATTTATTAGTACCCACGTCAAGAAACGAAAGGTTGGGAAAATATATTTATCAAGCGAAGTCTTCAGAATTCAAATTAATAAAGTACAGATGAGACATAATAGTCACGGATAACAAATATCAGCAGTTAAATAATCAAAGTATTGCAACGAAGACGTGAAATATAAGCGAGGCAAATAGGTGAGAGAAAGTCATTGGCATAGCGAACGAATGTGGTCAAAAA